CCGAGCCCCTGGGTTCCGCCAGGTTGGGCGGGCCGGCTCCGCCCGGGCGGGTAACCCGCGGCCACGCTCCGCCCCTACCGAGGTGCGCCCCGCGAGTGCTCTTTCCCTCACCTGGCCAGCCCCGACTCACGGGTCCTCCTGGTGCCAAGGCCAGCTCCTCCTCTTCGAGCTCTGGGGCGGCCTCAAGTTGCCTCCGAACGGCTCCTACCTGGTCCTTCCCTTCCGCCTTTCAGTTAGAGTAGCGCCAAGGCCAGCTCTTCCCCAAAGCTCGGGAGCTGCTGCCCGCCCCGCTGAAAGTTCCACTGGCCGCTTGCACGGTGGGGCTGGGCAGCGTGTAGACATCAGACGGATGCTCTCTTATTTGGAGGGCAGAGTGATTCTAGACCCTCTTGTCTCCGTAGGTTTAACTTAAGGGCCTCTTAGAACTCCTGCTTCCAGCTACAACTCCTAATACCCAGGAAATTGCATGGTGGTAATGCGGTTTCAAATTCAATGCCTGCATTTAACTTGTAGCACATGCACATATATTTTCCCTTTTAAATGAAATTTGTATTCCGGCCCGAATCCTCAGTTTGGCTGTATAACTACGACAAATGGAAAGTTCTTGAAAGTGCCCTTTGAAAAGGAAAATCAAATACTGGAGAGGTTCAGAGCTTTTAAATGTCTTCTTAGCGGTTGGAGAAACCTCGCTGGAGAGAAAAATGCGTGGGACTACATATTGTTTATTTTTCTTTCCAGACTATGTGCTCAACTGGAGAAAGGCTTGGTCCAAGAATTCCCGAGGACCTAGTTATCCATAGTCAAGGGCGTTTGGAGTGTTTGGCCAAGGGAATAAACTCATAAGGATGTGTCTGGCTTACTTGGAAGGGAACCCTCCCACTTTTGCTTTGAACATTGTCTGGGATTCTGGCATTTAGATCCAGTATGGTAATACCGTACAAGAGATACTGAGTCATTTCAACTCTGTGCTAGATGCTCCTAATTATTGAGATGTTCCTATTCACCCTCCAGCTCATTAAATGCAAATAATATAAATATTTTCTGTATTACACTTCTTCACCTTTCATTATATATTACATTCAAGAGGCATTAAAAAACCTTAGATTTTCTTTTTTTTTAATTTTGGTATTAAAGTAGGTCCCTTTAACAATTGTTCAAAAAATCATTTTATTGGGGGCTCATACAAGTCTTATCACAATCCATACATCCATCCATTGTGTCAAGCACATTTGTACATTTGTTGCCATCCTCCTCCTCAAAGCATTTGCTTTCTACTTGATACCTTGGTATCAGCTCCTCAGTTTTTTCCCCTTCCTCACTGTCCCCCCTTCTGCCTCATGAACCCTAGATAATTTATAAATTATTATTATTTTGTCATATCATACACTGTCCAACATCTCCTTTTACCCACTTTTCTGTTGTCCATCCCCCAGGGAGGGGGTTATATGTAGGTCCTTGTAATCAGTTCCCCCTTTCTACCCCAACTTCTCTCCACCCTCCCGGTATCGCCACTCTCATACTGGTCCTGAGAGGTTCATCTGTCTTGGATTCCCTGTGTTTCCAGTTCCTATCTGTACCACTGTACATCCTCTGATCTAGCCGGATTTGTAAGGTAGAATTGGGATCATGATAGTTGGTGGGCGGGGGGGAAGGAGCATTAAAGAACTAGAGGAAAGTTACATATTTCATCGTTGCTACACTGCACCCTGACTGGCTTGTCTCCTCTCCGCGATCCTTCTGTAAGGGGGTGTCCAGTTGCCTACAGATGGGCTTTGGGTCCCCACTCTGCACTTCCCCTCATTCACATGATAAGATTTTTTTTTTCTTCTTAGACTTAAAGATTTTTTAAAATAATTTTATTAGGGCTCATACAACTCATCACAATCCATACATACATCAATTGTGTAAAGCACATTTGTATATTCATTGCCTTCATCATTCTCAAAACATTTGCTCTCCACCTAAGCCCCTGGCATCAGCTGTTCATTTTTTCCCCTCCTTCCCC